AGCTGCCGCCTCCAGGCCTTCTGCGCCGGGTGCTGCCTCCTTTCCTCCCACTGCAAGGCCTTGGCGGCCGTGCCCCGGGGCTCAGCGGTGGGCCAGGCCGGAGGGCGGGCCAAGGCGCCAGCCTGGGCCTCTGTCTGACTCCCTCCTGGAGCTCCCGCCGCCCAATCCACGGAAGAGGGTGATCTGGGAATGGGGAGGGGGCGACAAGGGGTGCAGGCAGCCTCCGAGATGGGCCGATTTTCCTGAGCCCACAGGCTGACCTAAGCCGCTTTGTGGGAAGGCCCTAAGTGACTGAGTCTGGCCAGGGGTCGTGCTTTCCACCCAGACCTGGCATAGCTGAAGCCATAGAAGATCGTCCTGTCGCGGTCGGGGAACAGACCTTGTCTCTGGAAATGGAAGCTGCTGTGGGGGCTCCGCAAGCTGCCGGGCTTGGGCACCCTGCACACTGGTTTGGGGAAGGGACTGCTCACTAGGTTAGGGCCCCGGCTAAGTCAAACGTCAGCACCCTCTGTCGTCCTGTGCCAGGAAAAGCCTGAATCTTGACTTTCCTACTGACCCTTCCGAGCCAGTTCTGATGCAAGTCCAGGCTGGTCGCTGAGTACCTACTGTCCGTGTACAGTCTAATATAACAGTAATGGTGTCCTGGGCCTGTCACATTCAGCAGAGCTGCAGCTCTGAAGAGGGTTATAGCCATCTGGCAGATACAGAAATGGGTCCAGAGAAGCTAGTAACATTCTCAAGGTCACACAGCCAGTTTGGGGGAGAAGCAAGTATTAGATCTGAATCCTTTCCCCTGCACCATCCATCTCTGTAGTATTGATGATGTTTGTTTGTGGGTGTGGGAGGTGAAAATTGTGGCTAGAGGTACAAGATATTCAGTGAGACAAGGATTGGCATGGGTCACTCTTCTGCCTCCCACCCCACACTGGGTCGTTTGCTCAAGCCGCGGGAAAGGAGCCGGATGAGCCATCTCAGGGGGTCTGGGCTTGGGTGGGAGTGAGGGGAGCACAGAGGGCGCTAGACTAGGTCCAGCCCAGGTGAAAAAGAATGTAAGGAGAACGCGGGTGATTCACCCGGCCCACCACCATTAGGACTCGCGGGGAGGGGGGGAGTCAGCTCTGCTCCCAGCGCGCGGCGGGACAGGGAATGTGACCAGCTGACCAGGGAGGAGGCCGGCAGGAAGTGAGGCCACCCGGCCGCCTCCACCCGATTCCGGGGTGGGGGGGGTCCCAGGCCGCATAGCCCCCTCCCTTCCCTACCAGTTCTGGTTGGCAGCTGTGGGATGACGTCAGCAGTTGGGTTTGGGGCAGTTGCTATGGAGACAGGGACAGACCGTGGAGCTAACCCCTTCTCCCTTGCAGCCGCCCCTTGCCCGGGTTATTTTTAGCAAATGTTTACCTCTGTCTTGGGTCAGTGCTGGACCAGGGGACTCCTGGGAGAGGCTGCTGGCCTGGCATACCGTTGAGCTAGGCATCAGTAGTAGGACCTTTTTCCCCACACAGATGTACTAGTCTTGGTCAGTAGGACATATTGGGGGGGCACAGGAATGGGGGTCATGCATACATTTCAGGGCCCTTCACTGCTGTCCAGAGCTGGCTGTGCAGAAAATCCCATAACCTTTAGGACCTGGGACCTGGATTCTTTCCTATGTCCAGAACACATGGTAAGGAAGATAAGCTCAAGAGAGACCCCTGGCTCTTCTCAGGCAGCCTCTGCCAGTTGAGATGGCCCTTCTTCCTTAGCTCAAGGGGTTCAGCCTTCCGCCTCCAGCAGGAGAGATACTACCCACCCACCTCCTGAAATGGTCAGTCAGATGGCCATTTAAGGAGGAGACTGTACCAATAGTGGGACTAGGGGGTAAGTGGCAGCACAGCCCAGCCAGCTGAAGAAAATTGATGGGAAAATTAGCATACTCTTAAGAATCCTAGGGCACCTCCACCCTACTCCATCCCCATGGAACAGACCCCAATGGCTATGGCATATGATATAGTCAGCAAGTGGGAAAGGAGACGGAGAATCCTGCAGCAAGGGGTGGGAGAGTAGGGAAGTCAGGATGGACACTATAATTGATACCTACTCCTCCAGCAGGTCAGGATCCTCTTCCTGTGTCCAGGCAGCCCAGCTTTCCCACTTACCTCCCTCCCTCCTTAATTTCCCCTGTGCCCAGGCCTTGGTAGAAGACCTGGAATGTACCATAGTGAGCAAGCAGACAGGCCCCAACCCCCACAAGGTTTAAGCTGGTGGGAAGACAGACCCTAAAGGAGAACTGACAACTGAGTTATGTGGCCTCCCAGATCAGAGAAAGGAAGCTAGAGAGGCGCCAAAAAGGAGGAAGCAACCCAGTGTAGGCTTCCTAGAGGAAGAAGAGGGTCAGACTTGAAGGAGAGGGAGTTAGGCCAAGAGTAGTGGAAAGAAGGTATAGAATCATTAGGGGCCTGCTGCTCAGATGCTGAAAAACTTTGAGGATGTTGCAGTTGTTGGAGAGTGGGACAGGGTACTAGGAGGAAGAGGACAGGCCCAGAAGGGCCTTGTGGGTCACATTAGAAAGTCCGGGCTTTACCTTGGGGCAGGGGGTGGCTATGGATGTTTCACAAGACTGAATTTTTGGTGGTACTGAGGTTTGAACTCAGGGCCTCATGCTTGCTAGGCAAATGTTCTACCACTTAAGCCACACCAGTCTTTTTGCTTTTAGGTTATTTTTCAGGTAGGGGCTTGAATTTTTGCTTGCACCAGCCTCAGACTGTGATCCCCCTACTTATGCTTCCCATATAGCTGGGGTTATAGGCATGAGCTACCATGACCGGCCACAAGAGTCTGCATACTAAAGATTTAGTCATGGATCAGAGAACCTGGGTTTGAATATTGCCCCGACCCTTACCCAGCTGTGTAATCAGATTAATGATGATTAATTATAGCAGCAGCTAGTTATTTGTTGTGTGCTAACAGTGAGCACCACAACTTCCCTACCTGAGACACTCACATCAATCAATAACTAACTCCCTGTAGAGGAGATATCTCACTTCATCTTCCCAGCAGCCCTGTGAAGTAGTAGTTGTGGTTGTTATTATTGTTATACTAATTTTACAGGTATCTGAAGGCCAAAAAGCTTAAGCAAGATCTTGCCCCAGGTCACACAGTTAATCTCTGGTTTCTCAGTTGTGAAGCAGGGCTAGTAGGATTTACCTCATAGGGTTGTTGCTGGAGTTAAGTAGATAGTGTTTGTTAAGCACAGTGCCTGGCATATAGAAAACACTCAAAAAGGATAGTTTTTGCTATAGTGTCAGGTGACTGGAATTTTCAGAAGAGAGTGTTGCTGCTGACTGAAGAATCATTAGTTGAGTTTGGGAGGGGAGACATCAAGCTCACAGGCTGCTGTAAGGTTCTAGGGAGTTGGTGATGGTTTAGACCTGAATTCTAGCTATGGGGGTGGAGGTGAGGGGGCAGATTCCAGAGACATTTAAAAGCTAGGCCTGGCAAGAGTGGGTGACTAAGGAACCCAGGATGACTCCCAGTTTCTGTTTTGAACAATTTGGGTACATAGATGGTGGGGCTGTCATGGATAGGTTAAGACTGGGGAGAGTCAGGCTTGAGGAGGAAAGTAATGAATTCAGTCTGGGGAGCCTCAAACTCAGTGCATCCCATCATAACCCACTGCACAGTGTCAGTTAGCTTGTGGGGAGGTAGTCGGATATGCAGGCCTAGTGCTCACAAGACAGATAAGGAAGCTGGCAACATTTAGATGGCATTGAGCTGAGGGAGATGTACACAACCCATGAAGCCCATGTGGGGATGGAGAGAGGAACAGGGCCTCTGTGGGAAAAGAACATGCATGGCATAGGCCTGTGATTTCACTATTATGCTGAGTTAAGAGAATCAAGAATTAGAAGCCAGCCTGGGCTGCTGAGTGAGTTCCAGTGTTGTTTAGTGAGATCCTGCTTAAAAACAAAACAAAAAAGCCAGGCATGGTGGCTCAAGCCTTTAATCCTAACCACTAGAGAGGTAGAGATCAGGAGTTTGAGGTTCAAGGACAGCCTGGGCCAAAAGTTTGCAAGAACCTGTCTCAACCAATGGCTAGATGTGGTAGAATGTGCCTGTCATTCCAGCTTTGGGAAGAAAAAGCACAAAAAGGAAAATTACAGTCCAAGCCTCCCAGGCATAAGCGAGTCCTTATCTCAAAAATAACTAATGTGGTAGTGGCTCAAGTGGTAGGGTGCCTGCCTAGCAAGGGTGAGATCCTGAGTGCAAACTCCAATACTGCCAAAAATAAATAAATAAATAAATAAATAACGCAAAAAGAGCTGGTGGAGTGGCTCAAGTAGTATATCGCGCTTGCCTAGTAAGTGCAAGGTCCTGAGTTCAACCTCCAGTACCTGGGGAGAAAAAAAACAAAAACAAAAACCAGAATAAATGTGCAGCCTGAGATATAGGTAGAAAACCAGGAGCATGTTGCCTCTTGAAATTCGAGGAAAGGAAAGACTTACGGAAGAGGAAGGGATCCACCACATCCAAAGCTTCACTGAGATCAAGCTATTGTATAAGGACTAAACATTGGACATGTTGACTCAGTAACAGGGAGGTCACTGGTGACCTTGTCTGGACCAGTCAAGGGAAGGGTGAGTGTAGAAGGCAGGCCAGGATGGGAAGAAGAGTAGGTAGGTGTGGTGAGGAAATGGAAGTAGATCATTCTTCCAAAAATTTGGCTTAGAAAGGAAAGGAACAATGGAGTGAGAAGTAGGGTAGCTAAAGCAAGAAACATGGAGATAATTTTTTTTGTGATTTTTTTTTTTTTTTTGAGATAGGGTATCACAAACTATTTGCCCAGGGTTGGCTTTGAACAGTGATCTTCCTGATCTTGTAGGATTACAGGTGTGAGCCACTGGCAGATTATTTCTTTTTTGTAGTTATTTATTTACTTTATGTGTGTGTGTGTGTGTGTGTGTGTGTGTGTGTGTGTGTGTAGTACAGGGATCAAACTCAAGGCCTCATGCATGCTAAGCACACACTTTACCACTCATGTACATTCCCAGTCCCTGTAGCTATTTAGTTAAATCCAACTTTATTCTGAAATATAATATATATAGAAAGTAGCCAAGCACAGCAGAGCCTATAGTTCCAGCTGCTTGGGAAGCTGAAGAAGGAAGAGTGCCTGAGCCCTGGACTTTGACATTAGCCTGAGCAACATAGGGAGACCCCCATCTCAGAAAAGATGCATGTATATAAATATATGCATATCCAAGTGTACAGGTTGATACGGTTTTTGTTTTTGTTTTTTTGCAAGGGAACACACCCATATAGGATCAGGAAATAGAAAACAGAGCAGGAAACAGAACGTTCCAGAACCTTGGGAGACCCTTGTGTGCCCTTCTAGTCACAACAGCCCAAAGATAACCACTAACTATTAGCCTGACTTCTGTCACCATAGATTTTTTTTTTTTTTTTTTTTGGTGCTGGGGTTTAAACTCAGGGCCTTGTGCTTTCTAGGCAGGCACTCTACCACTGGGGCACACCTCCAACCTGTATCTTGCTTCTTCACTCAACATTATGTCTGTAAGATTTAGCCATATCATTGCACATAGTTGTTTAATTTTTCATTCTTTTTCCTGTATTATAATTCTGTTGTTTTTTGATGGGTATCTGGAGTTTCCAAGGTGGTTTTCACTTTTTATGTAGGAGTGACTGGAGCTTGTTGGTGACTTGATCAAGTCTGAAACACCCATCTTCTACAAGAAGGGAGAGAGACTGGGGCCATATAGGAGGATTTACCAGATGGGAAGTGAGAGCCTGGCTGAGATTGAGAATTGTTCTGTGGTTCCAGTCAGACAGCTGTGCCAAGACCTCTGGCAGCTCCCTCCAGACTGTGTGCAGGTCCAGCAAGGATAGGGAGTTGAGTTATCAGACTGGTTTCTGCCAGGTAGGAGAGAGGTGCAAGGTGCTGAGGATACTAGCAGTAGGCAGGTGATGGAAGGGTGGCTGTGGATGCAGACTGGGAGGAGGGTGTGCAGGGAAGGTAGGGAAGAGAAGGTAGGGGGAGCTGGCAGCGAGAAAGCAAGCAGAGGCGGACTGTGAGTTCTGTGCAGGATGGTGTTTGTGAAATTCTGACTGTCTCTCCAGTGACTGGCATGTGCCTGGCACAAGTCTGTCACTCAGTAATAGTTGAATAAATGAGCTGAGGGCTCAAGGGACCAGAGGTCTCAGATAAAAGGCAGGTGAGGTGGGGGTGATGGAGAGCACCTGGAGGTTGTGGAGGATAGTGTGGCTGGGGTTTAGGAAAGGGGCATTCCAGAGCAGATGATAGGGCTGGAGTGTTGGAGGGGGTGGCTGAAGGGAGCAGAGAGGCCAGGGTTGGGTGGACAATCCATGGGAATGCATAGATTAACAGTGGGTGCATGATACCCAGTATTCAAAGGGATATGGGAATAGTATTTCTCACACTGAAGTCCTTAGACTTTTTGCATCTGAATCTATGGAGGGATTGGTGGTTTTTTCACACATGCAGACCCCTGGGCTTGGGGAGAAAGTAAGCACAGTGTAGCAGAACTGAGCCTCAAAGAGCAGGAGTGTTTGTGGGGTGGGGGAGTGTCTAGCCACTCCAGGGTCAGGGAACAGGGTGCCCAGTGGACATGGTGGCCTTTCTCCATACTGGAGGTAGACAAGGGATTTTCAAAGAAGAACTATTGAGGGCAGGAAAGAGTCAGCATTAAGAGAATTCAGGGCTGAAGAGCTCCAAGTGAGCTGGGGGCCAGAAGGATGAGACCTCAGCCCTAGGATGCAGCTTCTGCTAGAGAGGATGCCCTGGTTAGACAGTAGATCATGATCCTTTTCCCTTGGCCTGGGGAAAGGGGGAACCCAGACTGAGCTCCCCCTTAGTGTGTATAAGGGTGAGTGTGGTATAGGGGGCTGTTGGATTTTCTGCACCCAGTTCCTTCTTGGCATCCCTCTTAGGACTGAAACAGCTTTCCAGAACTTTAATGCCCAGCGCCCCATTCTCTGCCCTCCATTGGCATAGTATATCACTCAAACCCTGCAACTCCTCCCTCCACCTTTTGACACTTAGAATCCCAATTCTCAGTCCTCTGTTCAGCCTTCTTTCAGCAGCCCCCCACAACCACTCTTAGAGCTCTCTACTCTCTCTGTGACCCATAGCCCCCTCATTCTATGCCTCCATATTCGTCCCAGTGCCCAATTCCCGTCATACGAGCTCCTAATCCTCAGCTCCCTAACTGAGGCCAGGCAGGCCGAGGTCTGGTGCCCCCCTAGTCCTTGGACGGGTACCGCCCCATCCCGGCGGGCTGAGTCAGGCGGCAGGAACTGGGCGGGGGGGAGGCGCCGAGAGGAGCCGAAGCCCAGGCCAGAGCGGCTTGGGAGCGAGCACGGAGCCCTGCCAGGCGCACAATAAGGGGTCCTGGGCCACTGGGAACGCAGGGGGGCGAGCGCGGGTCGGTGGCCTTCGGGAACCTACCATGAACGCCAAGAAGAAAGGTAGGACTCAGCTTGGGGCTGCGAAGGGTCTGGGGCTGTCCACAGGGGGTGCAGGCCGGATTCTGGGGGTCAAGGGTGCGTGTTTCGTTGGAGTGGGATGGGGGGGGGTGTCTACCGAGGATCCCTTACCACCAAAGGCAGGTGTGAATGCTTTCGTCCGAGACTCAGTTTCCAGATCCCAGCCACAGGAAAGTGGAGAAGGCGGGGCACTTCTCGGCACTGCCCCCTCTCTGGGAATCTCCCAGCGCCTAGCTGGGAGGGCTCTGGTGTCGCTGCGCCTGGGAGCTGGTGGGAGCCGAGTGCGTACTCTGCATTGGGAGGGCGGATTGCGGGAGCCTAGCTCACGCCGGCCAGGCCTGTCCTGCAGCTTCATGGGGTTCCGCGCGCTTGTCCCGCCCCTCCCCGTGACCTCCCGCGGCCTCCCGGGGTAGGGGCACCAGAGCTCCGTGTCCACTTGGTTGGGGACAGCCAGGGGCAGGGCTGGGAAGGCCGCTCCGCCCCCGGGTAAACAGGCGCTTCCGCACATTATTCGCGCGCCCCGCCTCTTTCCTGCCCCTTCCCAGTGGGAGGAGGGTCCGTGCGACCCCCCCCCCCTGCCTTCCTTCCCCGCGGCGGGCGGAGCCCGCACCTAGGCAGGAAGTGGGGGCCGAGCCGAGGCCACGCTGAGTCCGAGGCCGAGTCGCCCTTGGCTGCCCTGTCATTAGCGCCTGGGCCGGCAAAGCTAAGGTTACCGAAGCTGGAGCCCACCGGGACAATTGTACCTGGTGACAGGAGGGACTTGTTCCAGCCCTGGGACCTGGCGGCGGGGAGGGGGCTTCAGGGACCCGACTGGTGCTGGACACACACCCCCGCCACCCCCAGGGAGCCCCGCGCGGACTCATTCCATGATGTCCCTGTCGGTGCGGCCGCAGCGCCGCCTGCTCAGCGCCCGGGTCAGTAGAAGCCAGTCCTTCGCAGGCGTCCTCAGCAGCCACGAGCGTGGGCCCAGGTACGGCGGTTAATGGGGTAGAGAGAGTCTGATGGGGTCGGGGATGGATGTGTAGTTAGGGTTTGGGGGACTCCTGCTTGCCACTTTCTGAAGGCAGCCTCTTTTTCAGGAGCTTCCCGGTCTTCAGTCCGCCAGGGCCCCCACGGAAGCCCCTAGTGCTCTCTCGAGTATCCAGGATGTTTTCTGTGGCACATCCAGCCCCCAAGGTGCCACAGCCAGAGCGGCTGGACCTTGTCTACGCTGCCCTTAAGCGGGGCCTGACGTAAGCACCTCCCTCCCCACATGTTGGTTGTCCCAGCATCCCACCCCAGCTTTCTGCTAGTAGGAACCTTTTCTAGGCCTGTACCCTCTGCCTGCTGCCAATACCCTGGGCAGCTTGAGGCTGGAGTGGTAAGTTGACTCTTGTCATCTCTTTCCAGGGCCTACTTGGAAGTGCACCAGCAGGAGCAGGAGAAGCTCCAAGGGCAGATAAAGGAGTCCAAGAGAAATTCCCGCCTGGTGAGTGATGGTAGGGATGTCCTGGACTAATGCTCTTTGCCTTCCCAGTATGGTAGCTGGGCAGGGCCAGCCCTGCATGACATTGGGCTGTTTTCTTGAGTCACTGATCAGGTGTGTATTGAAAAAGGAGTATAAGGGAAGGCCAAGGGGATTTCTATCCCAACTTCTTTACTGTGCATACTTTCTGTTTTGGAACCAATGCCTGCTCACAGAAGCTTCCAGTGGGGAAACTTTGACCTCCAGATGTAACAGCAGGAGATTATGTTTAATTCTACAGAAGAGAGAGCCAGGTTCTTCCTGGGAAAGCAGTCAGGGCTTGCCAGAGGAGGAAACACTTTTGCTGAGGCTTGAAGGATGGGTTGGGGTGGACAAGTGTCTGGCTGTGTTCCTCATTATATCCCCTAAGTATCCCTTTTTGTCTCTCCTTGTAGGGCTTCCTGTATGACTTGGACAAGGTAAGTATATATGAATTAGTGTTGGAAGGGGTAGGCTCATGGGGGAGGGGAAAGAGTCTTGGGCCTCAGGCCTCTCCTGACCCACCTCTCCCCCAGCAAGTCAAGTCCATTGAACGTTTCCTGCGACGACTGGAGTTCCATGCCAGCAAGGTACTTGTGCAGCATGCACACAGAGTGGGATGAGGGTTTGGATAGCATAGGGAAATGGGAGTGCTAGGCCCTGAGTCTCAGTCCTCCTTCTGTCACCTCCCCAGATAGATGAGCTGTATGAGGCATACTGTGTCCAGAGGCGTCTCCGGGATGGTGCCTACAACATGGTCCGTGCCTATAGCACTGGGTCCCCAGGGAGCCGAGAGGCCCGGGACAGCCTGGCTGAGGCCACTCGGGGACATCGAGAGTACACAGAGGTGAGAGATGAGTGCCGTTGAGGTAGAGGCACAAGGTGTGGCAGGGCTGGTGAGAGTGGACTGGTTGTTGATTTCCTCCTGTCCCTGCTCCTCTATCCCAGAGCATGTGTCTGCTGGAGAGTGAGTTAGAGGCACAGCTGGGCGAGTTTCATCTCCGGATGAAAGGTACTAATTGTTGGGGGCAGGTGGAAGGGAAGAGGGAGTGTGCTCAAGCCCCCCAACATGGCTCATCTATTTCTCCCCTATCTCCCAGGACTGGCTGGTTTCGCCAGACTGTGTGTGGGTGATCAGTATGAGGTATGAGGATGTGAACAGGAGGGCTGGGATGGAAGGGTCACAACCTCAAGAGCAGACTCATCCTGCCTGTTTCCCCAGATCTGTATGAAATATGGCCGTCAGCGCTGGAAACTACGAGGCCGCATTGAGGGTAGTGGAAAGCAGGTGTGGGACAGTGAAGAAACGGTCTTTCTTCCTCTGCTCACCGAATTCCTGTCCATCAAGGTGATGTCTCTGCCCAGATCTACAGGATACTTTGGTCCTGTCAACCCCATGATCTTATGAACCTGTGACCCTCCTGATCCTGAGACCCTTACTCCCATGACCCCTTGATGTCTCCATGGCCCTGTGAATGTGAGATCTCTATGGCCTAGAGAACAGTCTTTGTAACTCCTATACTTCATGGTCTCCTGACCCTGTGACCTTTTCATGATCTTCTGATTCTATGAATATTTGATCCCCTGACTCCCTAGGAGACTCTGACCCCTATACCTCAATGACCCTATCAATTTGGACTTCTGTGATCTCCATGCTCTCAGACTAGTTCAAGGTTTCATAGCCTTCTGACCCTGTGACCAATCTTACAATCTCTATGCAAATTCAGACCTCTGATTGCCCAGGATCCCTCCACTCTTGTAACCTCACCATGCACTTGTGGCTACAGGTGACAGAACTGAAGGGCCTGGCCAACCATGTTGTTGTGGGTAGTGTCTCCTGTGAGACAAAGGACCTGTTTGCTGCCCTGCCCCAGGTTGTGGCTGTGGACATCAATGACCTTGGCACCATCAAGCTCAGCCTGGAAGTCATATGGAGGTTGGTGGGGTTGAAGGGGTTAGGGGTACGGCAGGAGGGGTGTGGCACAGCTAATGGCCTTTTACTCTTTAGCCCCTTTGACAAGGATGACCAGCCCTCTACTGCCTCTACTGTCAACAAAGCTTCCACTGTCACCAAGCGCTTTTCCACCTATAGCCAGAGCCCACCAGACACGCCATCGCTTCGCGAGCAGGCTTTCTATGTGAGTCACAGCCTAGGCCCATGCCTTACTATCTTCCAGGGTCTTCTTAGGTGTGATCCTAAAATGTTCTTCCCTTTCTTAGAACATGCTACGGCGGCAGGAGGAGCTAGAGAATGGGACAGCATGGTCCCTCTCATCTGAATCTTCAGATGACTCATCCAGCCCACAGCTCTCAGGCACTGCCCGCCACTCATCAGCCCCTAGGCCCCTGGTGCAGCAGCCTGAGCCCACACTCATCCAAGTTGCCTTCCGCAGGCCTGAGACCCCCAGCTCTGGGCCCATGGATGAAGAGGGGGCCATGGCCCCAACCTTGGCCAATGGGCATGCCCCCTACAGTCGGACTCTGAGTCACATCAGTGAGGCCAGTGTGGATGCTGCCTTGGCTGAGGCTTCATTAGATATGGGATCAGAAATCCCTGTCCCAGAACTTAGCCCACCAATACATTCAGATCCCACCCATGGGGAGCACCCCAGTAGTGTTCTTCCTGTTCTAGACACTGGCTATTCTGCCACAAACACCACACTCAGTACAACTAGTCCTGCCCCCACATCTATAGACCCTGCCCCATCTGCACAGCTAGACCCAGCTCATAAGACCACAGAATCTAGCCCTTTTGGCCTGCCAAGTCCCACCCATATCACTACAAGCACCACCTGTAGTGCCATGAGATCTATCGATACTGCACCAAGCCTCACTTCCACTGCTACAAGTTCTACACACAAGCCCATGCTCTCTAACATTACAACTACAGGCCCTAACCCCAATAATACAGACCCAGCTCAGACCACCACAAGTCCCACCCACACAACTCCAAGTCCCACCCACACAACTCCAAGTCCCACCCATACCACCCCAAACTCCACCCACACTACTCCAAGCCCCACTCACACTACAACAAGCCCCACCCACAAAGCAAGGATGTCAACTCACACTATTAGAAGTCCTACCCCCGGTGATATGGGCCCAGCCCAGACCACCACAAGTTCCACCCTTATAACTGTAAGCCCTTCCCCTTCTCCAGACCTAGTCCCTAGCCCCTCTTCAGACTCCACCATTCCACTGTCTTGTAACCACTCAGCTTCTGCTCCCTGTACTCAGGTAGACCCTGTAAGATCCAGCACTTTCTACCAGAGTACTTCCTGTTCTGGTTGGAAACCCCTCACAAACCCTGAGCCAGATCCTACAGAGCCCATCTTTAAGAGCCTAAGCCCCCCTCCCTCACCCCTAGTCCCTGCACCCCAGCACTCAGAACTTAGCCTGGGCACTACCTCTCAAGCCCTAGTGTCAGGAACAACTGCAGGGGCTGGGGACAAGAGGCTGGAGGAGGCCCTTGGGGCCCTAATGTCTGCTCTGGATGACTATCGTGGCCAGTTTCCTGAGCTTCAGGGCCTAGAGCAAGAGCTGACCCGGCTGGAGAGTCTGCTCATGGTGAGGATTGGGCTGGCCTGGGACACACAGGAGGGTGGCCAGTGGTTTGCTGCAGCTCTAACCCTCTTCACAACCTCAGCAGAGACAAGGCATGACTCGCAGCCGGGCTTCCAGTCTCAGCATCACTGTAGAGCATGCCCTGGAGAGCTTTAGCTTCCTCAACGAAGATGAGGATGAAGACAATGATGGGCCTGGGGACAGGTGAGATGGGAGAAAGGCAAGATGGGGGAACAGGTGAGGTGAGGCCAGGTAGAGCAAATGAGGGTGGATTTGCTGATAAGTGCCCCTGTGTTCACTCTCGTGTATACCTCATGTGTCCTTAATGCCCATGTCTCTAACCTCATCTATCCCCAGTGTTTCTGGCCACCTTGCTCCTCGTCTCTGCAATGTCTGCCTCCCCCACCAGTCCCCATCAGCCCGTGAGCCTCGTGCCCTTCCTTTTTCCCTTGGCCTCACCTTGGACCTACCCTATGAAGGAGCTTCTTCAGTGTCTCCTCATACATCCTGCACCCCCAAGTATCGGCATTCTCTGTCTCAACACCGACTCTCCCGGAGGTCTCGGCTCCTCAGGTCCCAGAGTAGCCTTTACCAATACCGGTTTGAGAGTCGTGCCTGGTCCCTCCGCCCTCTGCTGCTTCACAAGTTACGACCACATCCCCTTCGTCCCTTGCAGTCCACATTTCGTAAATCATCCCGCCTGCAACCCTACTCCCGTGCATTCCAACCCTGGCAGCCCCTGCGATCCTAGCTGGAGGTGACACAGGGCAGACCGACTAAAAGATCTAAAGATCTCTGCTACTCCTGCTAGCCAAAGTCCCTTCCTTCTCCTGAAGTTCTCTGTGAACTTACCCATTGTCTGTTGTCTTTGTATTGTCCATTCCGGGATGGGAGGAGCTTAATAAAAATAAACTCTGGTGACCAGATGGTGATGTGTGCTCCTGGGGTGGTTGACCCCATTTTTCTCTCAGGCCCCCGAGCAATCCGGAGGCTGGGGCTGAGGACAGCCTAGACTCACCCAGTGCCTGCCCTCTCAGCACAGGGTGTCCAGCTCTGGACGCTACCTTGGTCCAGCACCTGTACCACTGCAGTCGCCTCCTGCTGGTGAGGCTGGTGGTATTTACCCCACCTTTCCCTTTTAAATCCCTGCCCCAGACCAGCCGTCCATTCCAGTCCTGGCGCTCTGTCCCTTCTCTGAGTTCCAGTGCTCCAGGGCCTCAACAGCAGGCTTTTGCTGAATGGAATACCTCCCACTCTAGCTCCCCATCCCCACCAGCCTCTCCAAGTGCATGTTGGGATTTATAGTCCCTGAATTTCACCCTCCCCAAGCTCTACCCTCACATTTGAGCTATTTGACCACTCCTGTTCTCCAGAAACTTGGCACATTTGGGCCCTTGCGCTGCCAGGAGGCGTGGGCCCTGGAGCGGCTACTGCGGGAAGCTCGAGTGCTCGAGGCAGTGTGCGAGCTCAGCAGGCTATGGGAGATCCCTGCCACCTCTGCCCAGGAAGGTAAAGGCCTCTTGTGCTCAGGCATTGGTGTCTGCCTGAAGCTCCTGCCATACTCCACACCATATACACATCTGTCTGTCCTGTCTGCTTTGTTACTGACAGTTTCCCTCACCCCCTCATAGTGGTGCAGTTCTCAGCCTCTCGTCCGGGCTTTCTGACTTTCTGGGACCACTGCACAGAGGGACTCAGCCCTTTCATCTGCCCCATTGAACGAGTGCTCCTCACCTTCTGCAGCCAGTATGGTGCCCGTCTCTCTCTGCGTCAGCCAGGCTTAGCTGAGGCTGGTGAGTGAACTCCCCACCTGTTCTTCTTCCTTCCTTTCTCTGCTCTCCAGTGATGGAGACCTTAGGGAAGAACAGGTCAGCCCACAGCAACATACAATCTGAGCACTGAGGAGAAACAGTGAAGCTTATATCCAGAGGAGAAGGGTGTGGACAAGGGAGCCCCTGAACCTGAGCCTGGGAAGGGAGTACTTTCTTCCCCCTCGAAGCCTGGGACCATCTCAACTCAGGCATGATACTGTCTCCTATAGTTTGTGTGAAGTTCCTGGAAGATGCCCTGGGGCAGAAGCTGCCTAGGAGGCCCCAGCCAGGCCCTGGGGAACAGCTCACCATCTTCCAGTTTTGGTGTTACGTTGAAGCCTTGGATAGCCCCTCAATGGAGACCTATGTGACCGAGACAGCAGAGGAGGGTGAGGCAGTGGCCCTGACCACAAAGCAGCCTGACCATGTTGGGTGGGTCTGAGGACGTGGATAGGGCATGAGGACAAGGCCTCTCTACCCAGGAGGCTTCTTGCCTTGACCATCTGTCCCAGACCTGAACTTCCTTTTTTCAGTGTTACTAGTGCGGAATCTGAACTCTGATGACCAGGCTGTTGTGCTGAAGGCCCTGAGGTTGGCACCTGAGGGGCGGCTGCAAAGGGATGGGCTTCGGGCCCTCAGTTCCCTGCTCGTCCATGGCAACAACAAGGTCATGGCTGCTGTAAGCACCCAACTCCGGAGCCTTTCACTGGGCCCTGTCTTCCGAGAGAGGGTGAGTTCAGCAGGGCTTCCCGTAGGGTGAAGGCTGGGGTTCTGGGCTCCCAGTGTCTGGCTAAGTCTGCCCTCCTGCCCTTGTCCAGGCCCTCCTGTGCTTCCTTGACCAGCTTGAGGATGAAGATGTGCAGACTCGAGTGGCTGGATGCCTGGCCCTGGGCTGCATTAAGGTGACCCCTACCAACCCACCTACCCTTTCTCTCCCCTCCAGGTACCCCTATCCCTGAGTCCTTCCTGCTTACTCCAATGAGCCCACCTCAATGTTCTCTTCCCTGGTAGGCTCCTGAGGGCATTGAGCCCCTGGTTTACCTGTGCCAAACAGACACAGAAGCTGTGAGGGAAGCTGCCAGACAGAGCCTGCAGCAGTGTGGTGAGGCTAGGGGATAGGAGATATGGGTCAAGAGGCTTCTGGGACATTTTGGTTGGTTGATGGCACTAGGATATGAGGCCGGGGTGGAAGGGCCAGGGCCACTCCTGACCCCATCTTCCTTCTTTACAGGGGAAGAAGGACAGTCTGCTCATCGACGGCTGGAGGAGTCACTAGACGCCCTGCCCCGTATCTTTGGGCCCAGCAGCATGGCCAGCACAGCATTCTGAACTTTTACTCACCAGCTCCCAGTGCCCCTTTCCCCCATTTTCAGGGCTAACCAGGCACTGGCAGGGAGGGTGAGGGCTGGCTCCAGACACCTCTCCCCACAGAATCCTATCCATGAAAATCTAATATATTCTTCTGTTGTCCCTGGGGTTGGTAGAGTCAGTGCCTGCAGTTAAGTGCCTCCCAGCCTCAGCTCAGCACATCCCTCACCAAATAGTGTCCAGGGCCTGGCCACCTTGCCTCTGCCTCACCACAACCCTTGGTTTTATATTTTATTTACAAAGTTTTACAGAAAATTAAAAAAAGCAAAATGCTTTCCTATGTAGCTTGCTACACTTCTGAACCTCTGTTCCAATACCCTCTGGTGTGCCCTTCCTGACACTGGTGTGTCCATACTCCAGCTGTGACAACAGCGGGTGCATTTGCCCTGGAAATCCTGGTGGAAGAAAGCCCAGATTCTGGAACTAGACTTGGAAAAGACAGCTGGGAAGAGGAAGGGACATTACTGAGTAGGTTCAGCCTGCAGCTGGACCTGGGAATTACAGCCTTGCATGGAGATAAACTGTGTAGTTGGCCCAGGGAGGGGCCAAAGGGTGCCAGTTCTGAACTGGCTGTGGCCAGGGGGCAAAAAGCAAGCAGGCAGAAAAAGCCAGTGTAGTGTGGCTAAGCTTTTGGCCACAAGGGGGCAGTAGAATTGCGCCATTGGATGCCAGGCTTCTGTGTACTCAGGCAGCTTCCTGGCAGGGTGGGGGGGGGTGGCTGAAGAAGCTATAGGAGAGAGAGATCTTTGCAGAGGGGAGGAGCTGGGGGCCTAGGAGGCAAAGGACCCAGATAGCTGCTTTGTGACCCAATCAATACAGCAAGTCCCTTCCCTCCCTGAAGTGCCTTTTCTATAATAAACTTCCTGAACCCTGTGGTCCCCAAACAGCAGGACATATCTGTGCCTCTTCAAGAAGTAGGACTACCAGGAGAGGGCTCCCTTATCTCAGATCTGCCTGACATCTGAATTTGTTAACCCAGGAGGTTGAGTCCTGGGGGAGGAACTTGAGATGGGGTGGGACTTCAGGATAGCAGGCCTGTTCTAAGCAGAGCCTGAGGGAAGCCCATATCCATAAGCTAGAGAAACAGATCCTCCACTCTTCCCTTCTGCTGCCAGAATTTCCATTATCTAGGGGCAAGGGAGACAGCGCATGGGCAGGGCCTCCCCCACTCCCTGAGCCCAGTTTAGTGTCCCAGTGTCTCTGGTGGTAGGACAACAGTGTAACAGCATATGCACAGAGGTGTCACAGGGAGCCACATGTGTGCTTGCACTCAGGAAGAGCCAATGAACTGACAACAGTCATGGGGGGAGGGGTGACCCAGATCCCTGGGGAGCCCTACCCCTTAGTGCTTTAGAACTGTGGGGCCTTAACCACTTGCTGAGGAAGCCATGCTGAGCAAAGGGGAAAAAAAAAAAAAAAAACCGGCAACAGGAAGGAGCACAGGAAACACCTGTGTGTGGATGCAGGTGGCTCACTCCAGATGGGTGGGGTGGGAGTGGGGGGCAGTCAGCTCACATATCAGCCTAGCTCTTGTGTTCCCTCTGTAACTATGAAGGGTAACTTATGTGGGATGGTGCAGTTGTTTTTTGGGTGGTCAGTTGGGATAGCATGGGGTGGTAGATCAAGTTATAGAGAACAAGCCAGCACCCAAACCTGGTCACAGTTTGGGCCTGTCCTATGGGCCCTTGAAGGAGGATTGTACCCCTAGAACCACCACTAGGCACCCCTCAGGCCTGACAACCCACAGAGGCCCACTGGTAGGACAAAGCTGTCCACCTGCATCAAAAGTGTAGGCTGGAAAAAAAAAACCACCTGTATAAACTGGGCAGTAGGGAAAGACAAAGTAAACACTGGTTGACCAGGTCCTGGGAAAGAGCAGATTGGGTGAATAGGCCAGCAGGAGCTCACAGCTCAATCCACAGGACAAGGCAGAGCCTGGACAAGGAATGGAGGATGGAAAATGTCTTTATCCCAACCAGGGATCAACTGGGATGTTACTTGATCTCCAGTGCTAGGAAGGAACAGAACTCATCTCTGTCTTCCATGAGGAGGGTGCTGAGGCCACAGTCTAGTATTTAGCTCTGAGGATGAATGTGAAGGATAGGATGGGTAGGAGCTAGAATTAGGGCACTGTGAGCACAGCTAGGTGAAGAACTATCAAGGCCAGGGAGAATAGTGCCTAGACTCTCAGGTCTTTGCCCTTCCTGGCTCGGGAATGGGGGATGTAGAGACTGGGGACCAAGTACCTATCGAACAAGCTTGAGGCTCTGGGTTCAATCCCGTTTAAGGGAGCGGGAGGAAGAGACTTCCTGACTCAAAGCAGTATGGATCAAACCTAGAATAGTCATTTGACCCTTCTCTATCTGTGACCTGAAGTCAGGCTTGATGGCTTCCTTTGCCCAGACCCAGGCCCTGATTTGTCAGATGAAGGGGAGGGAGAGCCATTGTCCTACATCTACACCCTGCCATGCTAACTGCTCCAGAGGTGCCTCCCACAGGGGTAAGCTGCCCTACCTTCTACCCTGCTGCCACACAATTTGGGGAGGTACATGTTCCTGCTGCCTTAGACTCAAGACAGTTGGGAGCCTGCTGCCTCAGGTGATGGGAGGCTGATGACATCATCAGAAGTCAAGGTTACCAGGGCAAGGAAAACCTGTGCCAAACTGTCCTGTGGAGGTGTGCCAGTATCAGAGAGGGGACAGATGGAAGTGGGGCTCTAAGACCTGTGACATGCTGAGAAGTAACCCATCATTAGAGTCATTAGTTTCAGAGCTCTCTGCTCAGAGGAAACTGGTATGTGTGCATTACCAAAATAATAATAATAATAATAATAATAATAATAAAAGTACCAGGCCAAAGTGGTCCAGGATACAATTTTTATTGTGTTGGTTGTTGCTGGAGTCTTTCCTCTTGTCCTCTTCCAACCTTACCTTTCCTCTTGACTGCCACTCTTCTTTATGAATGCAAAGCTGCAAAGAACCACAAAAGAGAGAGAGAGAGAGAGAGAGAGAGAGAGAAAGAGAGAGAGACATGTTTATGAAGGCAAAGAAGCAGATGGGCTAGCACGTGGGAAGAGGACTGCTTCTTTGTTTCGCCCACACAGCAGGGGTGCCTTCCTTGTGTGTTTCTGTGCCTGGTGTGGGTACAATTTATTGAACCTCAGGCACATGAAATGCTCCCTCCATCTCCCTCCCCCCAGATAGCTCTAAAGTGGCACCATCTATTCCCCAGATGGACACAAGCTCTTAGTTTGGCTGCTGGGCCTTTTCTGGGCTGGGAGAGCAAGCTTAGGAAGATTCCAGTGTCTCATATGAACTGCTAAAGAAGCACAATCTATTGTCTAGAAAATAAGACTATCATTTGCTCCAAGAAAGGGGCTTCTTGTTCCAGAAGGTTGTGATCAAGTGATGACCACTAGTCTATTACTAGTCTATAACTAGTTTGATGTTAAGTTTTGATGTCAAGTCCCAGTTGCCTCTGAACTTGCTATACATCCAAGGTATATAGACACTCAGTAAGTGCTGACTTTACGTCACTGAATAAGCAACTGAATTGCCATGGCTGACACCTACATTTTTAGCTAACTCCTCTGAATCTCCTAATGATCTGCTCCTTCTCAGGTATCCCCTTAAACAGCAATCCACAGAGTTCCACTCTAGGCCTTTTCTCCTCTTTCTTGAAACACACTCCCATTTCTCTGGCTTCCATCTACAAGATGAGGCTGTATGCAAATCATTCTCACAGCTCTCACCTTACTTCTAGACATCTGTATCCAACTTGCTGACTGGTCACTTCTTTGGAATAACCATGGCATTGCATACTTGACATGCTCAAAATCATACTCAACATCTTCTCAAGACCTGTTTTTACTCCAGGGCTCTTAGAATCACCAATCACCTAGGTACCCAAGCCATAGAACTAGGCCTCACCTTTGACTCTTTCCTTTTCTGTCCTTTTACCCCAGCCATCAGAATCCTCTCAATTAAATGCCCTAAATATTTCTAAATTCTGTCTGCTTCTCTCTACCTCCATTGGCACTACTCAGGTTCAGGACATGTTACCCTTTTACTTAGACCCTAGTATTTCCTCCTTATAGGCATCTTGCCTCTGGTCTTGCCACTTTGGGATTTATTCCATGGTATTTCTAAAACACAAATCTACCACTATGGGTCTCTTTCTCTTAGGGAAGAGCCCAGCCCATTCTACCTGGTTCACAAAGTCCTTTGAGTCTAGTCCCCTCTCCAGGCTTATTTCTGCCACCTAACTTCTCACTCTGCCCTTGAACTTTACTGAACCACTTGCAGGGTTTGCCTGTCCCTGGGCATGCTATCACTCCCACCTTGGTCCACCCCTCTGCATCCTTGCTCATGCTAGCTCACCTCACTTGTCTCTGTCACAGAAGCATGTGCTTACTGTGGTATGATACTAATCATACCCAAACTGCAATTGCTTATTTACTTTGTAACTTCTGGTGCATTCACAAGCATTTGCTGACTATTCTAGTAGGTAACAGGCATCACCCAGGTCTGTGGAGGACAATGGGCCCTTCCCTGTGGAACTTGCAGTGCTGGGGATCAAATCCAGGGCCCTGAACACAGTAGGCAAGTGCTCGACCACTAAGCTACACTCCCAGGCCATTATTATTATTTTTTATTTCTTTGTTTATTTATTTTGCAGTACTGGGGTTTGCACTCAGGGCCTTCACCTTGAGCTATTCCACTAGCACGTTTTTTGTGTGTGTGATGGTTTTTTTTACCAGATCTATTTGCCCGGGGTTGGCTTCGAACTGTGATCCTTCTGATCTCTGCCTCCTGAGTAGCTAGGATTACAAGTGTGAGCCATCACATTTTTTTTTTTAAAACAGCTTTATTGAAACTCCACATACCCTGCAATTCAATGATTTAAAAAACTTTTTTTTTTTGTGGTACTGGGGTTTGAACTCAGGACCTCACTCTTGCTAGGCAGGCACTCTACCACTTGAGCCATTCTGCCCTGCTGGGTGTGTGTGTGTGTGTGTGTGTGTGTGTTGGTTATTTTCAAGATAGTGTCTTTTGAACTATTTGTCCAGAGCTGGCTTTGAACTTCTCAATCCTCCTAATCTCTGACTCCCAAGTAGCTAGAATTACAGCCATGAGCCACCAGTGCCCAACTGCAATTCAATCATTTAAAGTGAGCCTGGTGCAAGGTCCTGAGTTCAAACTCCAGTCCCACCAAGGAAGAAATAAAAAGTGTACAATTCAGAGCCAGGTATGGTGGTACATGCTTGTAATCCCAGCACTT